GCTACATGGCAATATAATTTTCCGATGACAATCTGGATGCACCTATTTATTAAAGAATCAATAATTTGGCCTAAGAATGTAAAAGAACACCCCTAAGAATGTAAGAGAATACAGAAGGCTGCTGGCCCTAAAGAATGCTAAAGAATGGTAAAATAGTGGTTTTATTTCATAAGAATGAGACTTAAGAATGGGTGCCATACTTAGCAAACCCTATGGTAAGAATGGTTAAAACCCGCCAAAGAGCAGCTAAGTATGCTTTAGGCAAAGAATCAATAAGTTGGCCTAAGAATGTATAAGAACACCCAAAGAACGAAAAGAATACATAAGACTGCTGACCCTAAAGAATGGTAAAGAATCGTAGAGAATGGTAAAGAGTGGTTTTATTTCTTAAGAATGAGACTTAAGAATGGGTGCCATACTTAGCAAACCTATGGTAAGAATGGTTAAAACCGGCCAGAGAGCAGCTAAGTATGCTTTAGAGAAAGAATCACTAAGTACGTATAAGAACACCCCAAAGAATGGAAGAGAATACATAAGACTGCTGGGACCTGAAGAATGCTAAAGAATTTGAAAGAACGGTTTTAAGATAAACGGAGGTCATACGAACGTTCTTAGAACGTTCTTAGAACGATGTAAGAACGTTCTACTGATTATTCGATTTTATCAATTTGGCTGGGCTAAGAACGACTTAAGAACGTTCTTAACCCCCCTCCGTGTTCGTAGGGCACGCACGAAGTAGTGTCCATTCTGGCGGCCAGTTGACATTTCGCAATGCCATACACACACATACATACACATACATACACACCGAGCGGATGCAGGCGATTGAGAACTGAATACTGTAGCAACTGCCGTACAGTATAACACATGTACATCAGCAAAGTGCATGCATGCACTTTTTTCACAAGCTCCTGTCCGAAACCATGCCACTGTTGGATGCAGGAGTCGTCTGTTCGACTCCTGCAAAGTACAACACGGGTGCAGGGTAAATGGAGATCAGGATGTAACTTTCCCTCAGCATCAACCATGGATCATCACATCGTAATAGAGTATATGCATGTAGCTGTCGCTGACTGGCAACCCTAAGTTAACAGAGTCTGATGAATTCGAACCTGATGATGATATGGGTGCTGAACCATAAATCATCAGGTGGTGTGGATGCTAGACCTTGAAAAGTCACTGGTGTGGATGCTAGACCTTGGAAAGTCACTGGAAGTCAGCAAGAACGTTGGCATGGCTGACAAGGATGAGGATGCCTCAAAACATTGGCGAAGGTACAGGGACTGCCAGGCGAGTAGTCAAAGATGACGCTTTGACTTCCCTCTTCAGCTGTTTGATACGATTATTAATGTACATTCCCCTAGGCCTGG